CTGGGCAGAGGGGAACTGCTGGAGCTGGTGGGCAGAGGGGGACTGCTGGGCAGAGGGGCGCCTGCTGGGCAGAGGGGAACCTGCTTAGCAGAGGGGCGCCTGCTGGGCAGAGGGGAACCTGCTTAGCAGAGGGGCACCTGCTGGGCAGAGGGGAACCTGCTTAGCAGAGGGGCGCCTGCTGGGCAGAGGGGAACCTGCTGGGCAGAGGGGAACCTGCTGGGCAGAGGCCCTCAATCCCAAATTCGTCTTGCCAGTTCCCTTCCCCAGGGACACAGTTCCTAAGACTTTGTTTGGTTATGAGAGTCAGAGCACAGGGTGCCTGACCACAGGGAGCCCCGCTGGGGGGAGGGGCAGTCAACCTGGAGGACTGGGGAAGGGTCCTGAGTGTGGTTGTGAGCTCTGTGGGTGCCATCTCCTGCAGCTGTGCTCTGCGTGGTGTGTGCGCATGTGTGCGTGTGTGTGTGCATGTATGTGCGCGGGCATGTGCTCCCATGGCTCTACTTCTGTCTGTGCATATGTTGTATGCAGTTAGGCGGGTGCTGGTGCAGCTTTGGGATGTTCTGGGTGGGGCTGTGGTATGTCCTGTGGCCCTAGAGGATCAGCAGTGACCCCGCCTGGTCACCCGTGTCTGTCCCACAGGGATCCCCCCAGCCAGTGGCACCGGGACCCTCCAGCTCTACCTCATCGATATCAATGATAACGCCCCCGAGCTGCTCCCCAAGGAGGCGCAGATCTGCGAGAAGCCCGGCCTGGACACCATCAACATCACAGCAGCCGACGCCGACATCGACCCCAACGTTGGCCCCTATGTCTTTGAGCTGCCCTTCGTCCCCGCCGCTGTGCGGAAGAACTGGACCATCACCCGCTTAAATGGTGAGCCTCACCCAGGCACCTGGAGAACCAGACTGAGTCTGCGGTGCAGCCCCCAGGGGCCCGTCACCCGGGAAGGCGGACAGCAGGGAGGGGAGCTGGCCCCACAAGAGGGGTACCTAGCCTGTCGCCTGTAGGAGTTCCTATGAGGCTGGGGCCCCGCTGTGCTCCAGTGCTCAGCCACGCCCAGTCCTAGGCTCTCTGTGTCAACGATCCCAGCATGAACATCCTTGCAGCTGACCCCCGATCAATATATTTCCTGGGAGTGGGCTCATAGAGAAGGTACCAGAATTCTGAGTTCTGCTAGCGTTGTGCAGTATGTCTAGAAAGGTGACACAATTTACAGTTTCACCAGACGTGCAGGAGTGGGCTGGTCCCCAAGCCTCAGCAACATGGAGTGTTACTGTTTGAAAACCACTTTCTGATTTCTCAACCCAAATCATTGTTTCCATTTGTATTTCTTTTTTTTTTCCAATATGTTTTATTTTAAAGAGCCCTTATCTTCCAGAAACCTCCATTTGTATTTCTTAACTAGTGATGGACATTCTTTCATACTAAAGGCCCGGTGCACAAAATTCATGCACGGGGGTAGGGGGTGTCCCTCGGCCCAGCCTGCACCCTCTCCAATCTGGGACCCCTCAGGGGATGTCCGACTGCCAGTTTAGGCCCGATCCCTGTGAAGACATTCCTCTCGCAATCCAGGACCACTGGCTCCTAACCACTCACCTGCCTCGCCCCCAACTGCCCTCCCCTGCCAGCCTGATCGCCCCTAACCCCCTGCCAGCCTGATCTTGCCCCTAACTGCCTCTGCCTTGGCCCCCACAACCATGGCTTTGTCCGGAAGGAAGTCAGACATCCAAAGATGGCCGGTTGACACAGTCTAATTAGCATATTGCCCTTTTACTAGTATAGATATTTATTGGCACTTTTTGTTTCTTCTGTTAACTGTCTGCTCAGTGCCCCACCTATTTTTCTCTGAGGTTTTTGCTTTATAGTTGATTTGGTCAAACTCTTCATACAGTAAGGAGATAGTTCTTCATCCCACATGTTCAGTGTCTTTTCTTGAATTGCCAGTGTCTTTTGCCTTCGTGGTAAGATGTAGTGTGTGTATGCGCATGCATGGGGGTACATGATTACACCTGTGTATGTGTGTGTGCTCATACATGAGTATACTTGTGTGTGTGCATTATATGCTTGTGTGTGAGTCTACATGTGTGTGCATGTGTGTGCTTATACATGTGTGTACGTGTATATGTATTGTGTGCTTGTACATGAGTATATCTGTGTGTGTGGTTATACCTGTGTATACCTGTATGTGTATGCAAGTGCTTGTACATGATTATACCTGTGTGTGTGCGCTCATGCATGAGTATACGTGTGTGTGCATTATATGCTTGTATGTGAGTATACCTGTGTATGTATGTGCATGTTTGTGGTTATACATGAGTATACCTGTGTGTGCATTGTGTGCTTGTACATGAGTACACATATGTGCGCATGAGTGTGCTTGTACACATTTATACCTGTATATGTATGCATGTGCTTGTACATGAGTATACCTGTGTATGTGTGTGCTTGTACATGAGTATACCTGTGTATGTGTGTGCTTGTACATGAGTATACTTGAGTATACCTGTGTATGTGTGTGCTTTGTACATGAGTATACCTGTGTATGTGTGTGCTTGTACATGAGTATACCTGTGTTATGTGCTTGTACATGAGTACACCTGCGTATGTATATGCGTGTGTGTGCCGGTACATGAGTATACGTGTGTGTGTGTGTGTGTGTGTGTGTGTGTGTGAGCCACACAGACTGAGAGTTTCATGCTGTCAGATTCAGTCTTTCCTTCAGAAGTTGTGCTCAGGAAGGAGGGCCGGGTGTTCACTAACAAAGCGCATGCTGTTGCTTTGTGCCAGGCGACTACGCCCAGCTCAGCTTGCGCATCCTGTACCTGGAGGCGGGAGTGTACGATGTTCCCATCATGGTCACAGACTCTGGGAACCCCCCCCTGTCCAACACGTCCATCATCAAAGTCAAGGTGTGCCCATGCGACGAGAACGGCGACTGCACCACCATTGGCGCGGTGGTGGCCGCTGGCCTGGGCACAGGTGCCATCGTGGCCATCCTCGTCTGCATCGTCATCCTGCTGAGTGAGTACGGCTGAGCACTGCAGGCGCACACCACCCAGGGTTGTCCAGGTGCAGGCGAAGCCTGGGTTGGCCCTGCAGCCCATATCGCCCCATCTCTCCCAACCTCCGGGACCTTTCAGAAAGCCCGTTGAACTGGTCTGTGTGATCGCAGACACACTCATGAGCATGCATGCATCCCAGCACATTTACATGGGCTGTCCATGCGCATACGTGTGTACGTGGCTGTGCATGCACGCACATGCATGTCCACATGTGGACTGCACAGCGTGTACACAACAGGCAGCAATATGCACACTCTCACAGGTGCACAGCCCACCCATATTCGTCCCAGTGCACACACGTGCATAACATGCTCACACAGGTACACATAACACATGGTGCTTGCCTGCACACATGCACACACACCCCTGCTCATGGCGCCCCCAAACCCCACAGCCATGGTCCTACTGTTCGTCGGGTGGATGAAGCGGCGGGAGAAGGAGCGGCACACAAAGCAGCTTCTCATCGACCCGGAGGACGATGTGCGTGACAACATCCTCAAGTACGATGAGGAAGGCGGCGGCGAGGAAGACCAGGTGAGGCGGCCGTGCGTCCTCGGTCACAGCGGGAGGGGGGCCATGTCTAGTGAGGACAGCAGAACCCTCTTCGCCAGCTGAGCCTCTCTGCCCGCATTTCCATGCACTTGCACCGCTGCCTCCCCGAGGGGATCCCGCCTCAGCTCTGGGTCCCCTCACCCTGCTCCCTGTGCCCCAGGGGCTGGGAAGGACAGACCTGTGTGCCAGGGCTGTGGGGTGACCAGGAGCTGCCTGGTTGGACCCTGCGCTCACCACAGCCATTGTGGGAGTCGGGGCAAGTCCTTACCCCGCTAAAGCTTCCTGTCCCCGCTCGGGGGTTCTGAGGGACAAAGGGGCATGTAAGGGAGGTGGAGCAGCCTGGGCAGCGGGGTCCCCTGGGGGCCCATTAGGCCAGTGAAGGCAGCAGGGGCACAGGCCCCCCACGTGCCTTCAGGACAATCAGGGTCTGGACCGAGAGGAGGTGGGTGTTATGGGAAGGCGACCAGGGGAGGGAATAGGACAGTGGATTTCACTGGCACCCTGCCTGCCGCCCGCCCGAGCCTCCCCCTG